TTTTGAACTAATTATATATATATATCTTTTTTTTCAGAGGAGTATTCTACAATGCAAACTAAAAATGCATTTAGGTTTAACTTGAATAAATTGTACAATACTATATGTAAAATACCAAACACAGATGAAGTTACATTATTATTATATATGTTGCTACATAGAAACTCAAGTGTAAAACAAGATATTATGAGAAGACCAGACATACAACTATTGGTGAATATAAAATTATTGATTCATTAATAAAATAACTTTAAAATGTTGAAGTATTATACATATAGGAATATATAGGAATCTAATCAATATTGTTTTATAGGTAACACCAATACTTCAAATTCTGTATCATGCTCCAAACAATACATCACATCATATTTATATGTCTCTTATTATTCTTTTAATTTTAAGTGAAGACGAAACATTTAACAAAAGGATACATGAAATAGTAAGTTCTTCTATCAATTAATTCAGTTTTACTTTATTTAAAAAAATTTCACTCGTAACAACTATTAATTCTTAGATGCTTAAAGGCGTAAATTGGTATACAGAAAGGTCAATAAGTGAAATATCATTAGGAGGTCTTTTAATTCTTGTTGTTATAAGAACCATACAATATAATATGTTTAAAATGAGGGTAAGAATCGCATTAAACGTAAATGTAAACAATATCAAAGTGATGTAATAAGAAATGATAAAATATTTCTTATGTTCTATAGGATAAATATCTTCATACAAATTGTTTAGCAGCTCTAGCAAATATGTCAGCACAGTTCACATCTTTACATCCTTATGTTAGTCAAAGGTTACTAAGTTTGTTCGAAACTCTTGCAAAAAAACATGCTAGACTAGAAACGAAAATACGCACACAATCTTCTGTTTCTTCTGACAGTACAACTGTTACAGTTAATGGAACAACAACAAATACAGATTTAGTAAGATTTTGCAGTAATGCATAGTAAATCGTGTATATTAAATAATTAAGTATATAATTTATTTTATTTTCAGATTCAAGATTTAACAATACTTGAAGAAGTTTTGCGAATGGTATTAGAAATTATAAACAGTTGTTTAACTCACAGACTTGCGCATAACCCAAATTTAATATACACCCTTTTATATAAAAAAGATATTTTTCAACCATTTAGAACACATTCAGCATTTCAAGATATTGTGCAAAATATAGATTCTGTAAGTGTTAATGTAAGATCTTTTACCTATTTTATTCTGAAGCTATGTGATAATGAATAAAATTTATTCAGGTCATAAATTTCTTTTCTTATAAATTGGAGCAAAAGGATCAATCACAACTTGGTGTCAGTCAAGTTTTAACTACAATTCAGCAAGGTACTAGCGAATGGCCACATGACCGTTTAAGGGTATGTTTAATATATAGTTTACACTTTAAAATATGCACACACACACACACAATTTTTAAGAATAAATAATACGACAGCAATTCTATTCATATATTTTAATATTACCTGTTT